AAAGCTTCTCTTTAGATACCACTGGTTGCTTGCTTGTGATTATTTATCACCATTGGCGAACAATCTTTCAGACACTTTGTCCCCATTCTCTGGAACTTTCTTCCCCAAATTCTCCCTTTCTGCTTTCTAAATCCTTCTAAAAACCTACTTCTTTGACTGTGCCTTCAGTAACTTTTCTACCTTCCTCTCAGGATCCCGCTCCATCTCTGTATTGCATTTTGGGATGTTATCCAATGTTTTGCTATTGAATTTGCTTTGGAGGTAAGACACCTGAGAGCTGGGATTGGATGATGTCTGTTGGAGACGTTGTTCTGTCCCCTCCTATTGTAACTTCTCATAACTTGGATGATTCATAAGACCTAAGTGGAACAGTCAGAAAAATCATTGTGATCTCATATTGATAGAGGAAGCTTAGTTTTCAGTCCTATTAAAACTGAATGTTGACTGTCCCATACAGGAAGGATTGGTTGTTTCTGAAGAAGAGTCTGATTTAGCTCAGTTCCTCTTGGAGCCTCCCACTTCACTACGTGGCTCTAAAAGAAGCCCAGCCTGACTGAAGCAATCTCTCCCTTTAAAATGGAAAACATTTATTGTTGGTATATTGACTGTAATTGTTAAGTGTGTGTACTGATTATATGTCTAATAGTTTTTCAACATTTTTAATAGCAGGGACCAGCTGTTTCTTTATAAAATGTGGAGGACCATTGGTAAATTAGCATTTTGGGTCATTCATTCTAAAAAATGTATTTGGTGTGGACAGTTCATAAAGTTAACATACCCTGTCACTGATTCTTGGACTGGGTGGTTAAGAAGCCCTAGTCTAATAGCTGATTGACCACTTACATTGACAACTGTCAGTGTTGCCTGTCTCTGGTGGGGAACTCAGTTGACAAAGCACCATTAGTATCCATATGCATCATACAGGTGTCAGCCTGGCTCAGTTGGTAACACTCATCTTTCAGTTAGATTTGTGGGATTGAACCCGACATCGGGACTTTGAGCTCCTAGTCGAGGCTGACACTCCAGTGCAGTGCTGAGGCGGTCTCCATTACTGGAGGGCAGTGCCACCCTTCTGATGACACTCTGAACTAAGAGTTTTTTTTGTCTTTAGTTTTTGCATATTGTGCTTTGTTATTATAAAAAAAATCAATAATGGAATGATGTTAGTCAAAATAATTTTTTATACGGTATGTAATTTTCAAAAACTAGCCCATATAGGAAATTATCACACCTGGCATTGAAGTACTTCTATGGGAAACTAATTCTGTAAACATGCTGGCGAGCCTGATTACTGAATGCAGTAAAGAGGCAATAACACTAAATTCACACTCCATTTAATTTTATGGAAAATGTTTAATGTACAAAATGAATTTAACACTGAATATTTCCTCTTTTTTTACAATGCATATCTGTACAAACTATCTGTACAAACTCTTGTATACATTCCTTCCTCTTTTGGTATTTTATATTTAAATACAGTATAGACAGATATCTATTGCTGGCACTTTTCCAAGGTATCTAGAATGAACAATAATAATCCTTGCATTTGATATAGCGCCTTATCACATCTTTGAGACATCTCAAAAGGCTTCACAGAATATACTGTAAAGTGAATTGTATATTTTGTGGGCAAAACAATGATGTTTTTTCATTCCAGTTGGACTTTTATTTTCTCACTCCAGAAAAGTACCTTTGATTTTAAGTTTTTTTAAAAAGCAATAATTCTTTAGCAGTATACATTGTGGTAATTATTTTCTTCCTTTAGTATCACATAAGTACATAAGGGAGTAGGATGTCTTGTAACTAATACTGAAAAAACACCCATTTACAGGAGCTTTGTATTAATGAGTATGACTATATGCCTGGGCAGCTCTTAGCTTGTGTCTTGAAACTGCATGGATTGAGTAGGCTTTTGGTAAGTGCAACTAATGGGGATCAAACATGTATTTGAATCAATTGGTGTATTTAAGAGGGACCCAACAACAACTTGCAACTCGTGTATTTATAGCGCCCGTCAAGCAGAGTCGTGTCCTAGAGTGCTAAAACAGCTATTGGGGATTACATTTATTAAATATATATGGTAAATTTTTTAATAAAAAGACTGCTGAATTCCTTGGGTGTATATGGAAACCGGAAATACTATTCACATTAGTGCAAGTGGGTAAAGCACCAGGACCAGCAATGGACTTTTTTTTTGGCCACCAGAATTTGCCATTCGTGGCAAATAGTTTTGTGGTTACATTGCTAGATACTCATCCTCCATTCACAAAATGATTAGAATCCTTCCAATATGCCTTCTATATGCCACTGCTGTCCTAACAGAATGTCTGTCAGACATCAAGTCCTGGATGAGAGCTAACTTTCTACAGTTGAACGTCAACAAGACTGAGGCCCTCCTGATTGGCTTCCGTCAGTGCCTCCACAACTCAGCCGCTGACAGCCTCACCATCCATGGTTGCACACTCCACCTACTAAGCCAGTCCGGAACCTTGGGTCTTGTTTGACCCTCAACTATCCTTTCTACCCCACATCTGTGCCATGACCCGCTCTGCCTTCTCCCACCTCCGCAACATCACCCGGCTCCACCACTGTCTCATAACACAGCCCGTCGAAACCCTGAAACACGCATTCATAATATCGAGGCTTGACTATGCAAACTGCCTGCTTGTCAGCCTCGCCAACTCCTCCCTCCAGAGGTTGCAGATCATCCAGAACTCTGCAGTTCGTGTCCTCTCCTGCACCAGGCTCTGTAACCCTATCACCCCCATCCTCGCCTGACTCCACTGGCTTCCTGTCACACAGAGGATATTATTCAAGAACTTGGTCCTCACCTTCAAAGCCTTCCATGACCTTGCTCCCCCCTAACTTTGCGACCTCCTAACTTCCTACCATCCTGCTCCCACCTCCGTTCAGCGGGCTCCGGCCTGCTTCACATACCATTGGCGGACGGGCCTACTGCCTTTCTGCTCCTATTCTCTGGAATTCCATCCCGCAGTCCCTCCACCTCGCCCCCTCCCTTGCCACCGTCAAGACCCATCTCAAGACCATCCTCTTCAACCGTGCTTTCGATCACACTGTTTCCCCCCATGCCCTCCCTGATACCGACCCCCCAGTTTTGGTCCAAAACACTGACTGTCCAGTGCCCTGGGATGTCCTCCCGATGTGAAAGGCATTATCCAAATGTAATTTTATTGTTGTTGTACAGGGCTATCTGTCAAACTTTTTCACTGCAAAATATTAGTTACTGGCATTGGGCCATACCAAATTGATCTTTTAAAGTGATTCATTGGATAATAATATATATTATAATAATCCTTGCATTTGATATCGTTCTTGATCACATCTTTGAGACGTCTCAAAGTGCTTCACAGAATATACTGTGCAGTGTAGTGACTGTATATTTTGTGAGCGAACGCGGCAGCCAAATGCGCACAGCAGTGTCCCACAAACAGTCCTGGATTGAGTGACCAAAGTATTCTGATTTTTTTTTGAAGGGATTATTATCCCTGAAAAAGTGATATGCCAATCGACTAACAACCAGGTACCCACTTACTGCTAGGTAAACAGAGGCATGTGGAGTAGGAAATTTGCCGGGAATCGAACGCAGGTCCTCTTACTTGTGAAGCGAATACTCTACCCACTAAGCTATACTAGATGGGATTTATTGCATCTGTGGAACTCAGTTTTATTGATAACTACTTGAATATTCATATTGCAGAGAGATCAAATGATTAGTTTGACATTAGCTCTTTGACACTACAAATAGATTTTTTTTATTTGGGGACTAATGTGACTTGAGCTTTGAATCCTCTTTCATTTGTTGGGTTTCCTTAATTGTCACAAACCTAGGCTTATTTTATTAATGGTATGATCATCTCTGGGTTTGACTTATTCAGAAATATTTCATGGAACTGATGCTTTTTGTTGGATGGTCTGGTAGGTGAACCATTGATAATTCCTATGATATTCTTTTTAGACATACAGAGGGTGGCAAGGGCAGATTCTCTATCCATCCAAAAAACCTACCTCCAGTAACTACAGGTGCCCCTGCTCTGCCTTCGCTTGGGATCCGATCCCATCACTGTGAAACGCTCCAAGAAGTTATCATACATGAAGAGCGTTATATAATAATAATCCTTGCATTTTATGTAGTGCCTGCCTTTCATGTTGTTGAGACGTCTTCCCAGGATAAATTGTATATATTGTATATATATATTGTATATATTGTAATGTAGATTGATTGTGTATTTTGGGTGAAAAAAATTCACGCTGCTGAAACACTGGTCCACGCCTTTATCACCTCAAGGCTGGACTATGGGAACCCTCCGTTCCTCTGGCTCCGGTCTGTTCCACATCCCCCGCCCCAACCGCCCTACCATCGGTGGCCGGGCCATCAGCCTCTCAGCCCCTAGGCTCTGGAACTCTATCCCCCAGTGCCTTCGCCGCTTCCTCCGTTTCCTCCTTCAAGGCCGGTCTCAAGACCTTTCTCTTTGACCGTGCCTTCAGCTCCCCTCTCGACTCTCTACCCCCTCCTCGTTCCCTCCCTCCCTTCCCTCCCCCTGACCATTTCCCCCCTGCTCGAGTCCTGACCCAACTGTCCAGCGCCTTGGGACGTCCTCCCGACGTGAAAGGCACTCTATAAATGAAATCTTGTTGTTGTTGTAGTCTTTGACACATCTGGTATTTTGTACTTATTCTACATTTTGCCCACCTCAACCCAGAAATGTGTGTTTGATGATGAATTAAATCATCATTGTCAAATCATCATCTCAGGGGAAATTGATGACTAATTTTGTGCATGTTTAGTGCAGTAAATCTTTGTTCGCAAGCCTGAATGATTCGTTGGAATTTCTGACTTTAACCACTTAGCTTAATTGAATATGAGCAAAAAATTGAAAGTGACTTTTAAACTTATCCATAAATTGGAAACCCTGGAGAGATTTGCTTTTTCACATCATAACATGATTTGCCTGACTTTTGTGTAATTATGTATTTTCTAGGTAAAGCTGCCATTTCCTGTTGAAAAAATCACATTGCTTACTAGAAATGATTTTCAAGCGATGCTGAAGATGCACCACCTGAATCCAGAGCAGCTGGATTATATCCATGACATCCGTCGCCGTAGCAAAAACCGAATTGCAGCGCAGCGCTGCCGAAAACGAAAACTGGACTGCATACAGAACCTAGAGTGTGAAATACATAAGTTGGTAGGTTGATTTACAAGTGATATCACCTTGCTGTCAATGAAACGATTTTATGCACACGTTGTTCCTGCATGGAGGTGCAGAATGGGGAAGGTGCACCATTGACCAACTGACAATTCAACAACAATTCGTGAACTAGTGTCGTGCATTAATTTTTATACCTTTTTTTCCCATCTTTCAATTTAGGTGTGTGAGAAAGCAAAATTGCTAAACGAGAAGGACAAGCTAAAGGTGCGTATGGGTGAAACCTGGGAGAATTTATCTGGTCTCTGCAAGCAGATGTGTAAAGAAGCAGCTCTCAGCTCTGAACAAATTCAGACACTAGCAAAGTACTCTTCACCAGAATGTCCTCTTTCAGTTCTAAACATCCAAAGAAGCACTGCCTGTAGAAATCTGGTTTCTTCATGCCCGGGATACTCAAGTGATGCACAGAATATGGAATGTAGCAGTGAACAGGGATCCAGTTTACAGCTTCAAGAGAGAATGGCAGGTACACCCTCCAGTCAACAAGAAGGTCCTACAATAAGTCAGTCAAGGACTTCAGAATGTACTCTGGCCTCAGAACAATGCTGCCAGACTGTAATGACTGACTTCTGTCAAGAAATGATAGATAAATGTACCACGGATGAGTAATGCCAGCTGTGTTCTGCACTGTTTCAACAAGAACCTGTATTCTCTTCCTTAAATGTATCCATCCTTTTGTCTACCAATAGAGCTTGGAGTCTAGTTACAGGAATGAACTCGGAAGCATAGTGGTCTGCAGCGACGCTTTTTTTTAATCGGCAAATTTTTGTGCATGTAATTTATACTGTCTTGGAACTAAATTCTGCTTTCTCAGCATCGCCTAATGTTAGAATCATTTTAGATTTTTGCTATATGCCAGATTAGCATTGCACTTGAGTGATTTTTGTCAGAAAATTCAGCGTAATGTGTGGCATGTATTTTTCATAAGAATAAGAATCTTGGCTCAGTTTGAAGTATGGGAAGAAAAGCGAAATTATGTTGTATAGCGGACTACAAACACTAACTTAGCACTTCAGTAACTTCTTAAAAACACACCACTAAATTTCAATCATGGTTTAATTGTCTTCCCTTTGTTTGACCCTGGCTTAATTTTAAAGTGGGTGTGTTTTATCAGCATCTCTATTCAAATTTGTGCATTTTATGTGAAATCATGCCAGCTTTAAACTTTATAGCTCCTGTTAGGGTTGTTCATTAAAAATTGATCCCTATTTCCTTTCATCCTGTTGAAGCTTTGTAGCAATCCTGAATTGGGGCTGTGCCTCTGTGAAGTTCTGTAACTGAACACTAATTTATCACCTAAGCAAATGAGAACTTTCAATCTGCGGTTTCCTCAAACCTGCTACAGGAGTTTATCGTACAAGACCATTTGATAGCAGTGAAGTGAAACCTCTATCTGCTTTCTTCTTTTTGAAGTATCTACAGGGAGACCAAAAAGTCTTAAAGAAAGATGATTTTTTTTAGACAATAGGATACATATCACAACTTTTTGGACACTCTGTATTCATGTAAATTTATAACCTCAATAAGTTCAACTTGGTTTCAATAATGTGTTGACAAAATCTTGTGCAGTTACTGCTCAGTTTGATTTAGCAATTTCCCATTGTTGAGGAGATTCTGGGCAGAGCTTCAAGGTTAACTAGTACAAGTTAAGTTGCCCCTTTTTCTTGGACCTTTCTCTTTGTTGTTTTTTTGGCAATACATTTAGGAGGATTGTGGTTATGGATGGTAAAGTATTACTGTTGCTAATCCTTTATTTGCTTGCACTAGAAATAAATATTGCATTTTATCCAATACAAAATGCTTAGTGTAGAATCTACAGTCTTCAAAGCATAACAGTTTTTAATTGATTTTGCGTGATTCACTTACCTGCCAAGACATTTTATGAGTGGGGGAGAAAGAGGGTTAGAAAGAAGAGGCATATAAAACTACTACAATAACATGATGAAAAGTAAATCACATTTGGGGAGAAATTTTATGTGGGTCTAGATTTATGCTATTTATGTAGCATTTCAGAGAATACAGCATTTAGTAAATTTTTGAATTCAGTCCTTAAAATTGTTCTAATTTTTTTCTATAGAAAACCGGTTTCCCTTCCCTCCCCTCACCCTGACCATTTCCCCCCTGCTCGGGTCCTGACTCAACTGTCCAGCGCCTTGGGACGTCCGCCCGACGTGAAAGGCGCTCTATAAATGGAATCTTGTTGTTGTTGTTTCAAAATTAAGGCTTTGTTTAAAAAAATTCCCATTTCTGGAGCTTTAAAGTGCTACATATAGAGAGTAAATCTAGACCCAGGTGCAATTTCTTATCTTCTCAGAATTGTTTTAAACTTTACTTGTTTACTTGAAGATGAAATGTTAAATGTTAAAAGTTTGGAATTACTTTTTCTTCTAACAATTTAGCATAACATTTTGTGTACTGGTTTCCAATTGATATATAAATGAATATGGAACATTCTGGCAAAATGCAGGGGGAGAAATTCTACCTCGGTCTAAATTTGATATTTTTGCATTTCACAGTGTCTGGAATTTGGCAAATTGTTGAATTCGGTCTCAACTCTGGTTTCTGTCATTCTAGAAAATCTGCAATTTTCTGTAATTTTAGAAAATCAAAGTCAAAATTACGTCATACAGACTAGCAAATTTTGGATGTCCTAAAATGCTAACAAAATAGAGTATATCTAGATCCAGATAGAATTAATACCCGCAGTGTTCCTTAGAGGAATGTGCTCACACAGAAAGAGTTTAGTCTAAGCAATAAACATGCCTACCTCTATTAAAGGAATACTCAAGGGAAGGCTTTTAAAATTCATATTTATCATACCCCAAATTGCCCTTTTCCCAGAACTTCATTCTCTATTGACCCCTCCCTCCAACCAATAAGTCTAATAAACACATCCATTCATTCTCTTTATTGTCAAGAAGAGTGGAAAAGGGATGCCTGGTGAGGCATTTTGCATTAAAGCTTCAGTTGAGTGCTCTGTTCAGTGCTGGTTAGGATTCTTGGATTTTTATCCTGCGTCCTTTACAATTATTATAGAACTATGAAAACAAACGTTGGAATGAGCTTAACGCTGCATTCATTCTTTGATGATAAATACAACTAAATGCAGGTAAGTACTGCCAGACACAGAAATATAGCTCTAAATATTTTTGTGATATTAAATGGTGATTTTTTTTACGTCTACATAAAAAAACAAGATTCATATAGTCTGAAAAAGGCAAGACACAGCTACAATTTTATCTTTTAGAAAACCACTTAAGATTCAAGCTCCCAATATGCTTTCAGAATTCATAGGATTAATTTTGCCTGGTATTTGCTCCAAACTTTTATAGCCTCTGAAAGATAAATTGATGAAAATGTATGTGGCTACACTGCTTTACTTTGTAAAACTATCCCTTCCCCTTAGTGAAACATAGTTGGAATAGAACCAGAATTTTGGAGAGAACTAGTGGAAAAGGGTGAAAGAAGGTTTTTAATATAAACTCTGTGGGATCAGAAAGCTAAACTATTTATTTTGGTAACACTGTCGCTGCTGAGTCAGAAAGTTGTGAGTTCAAGTCCCACCTCAGTACTTGAACTTGGGTAGTCTAAGCTGACACCCCAATACAGTGCTGGAGTTGTGCTGTATTGTCGGAGGTGCCGTCCTTTGGCTGAGACATTAAGCTGAAGTCCCGTCTGCCTGTTCAAGTGGACGTTAAAGATTCCCTTGGCATTATGCAAAGGGAGTTTCTCCTGATGTTCTGGCCAAAAATCCCCCCCGAAATAAAATTGATCATTTGTTTCATGGCTGTTTGTGGGACACTGCTGTGTGCAATTGGCCTGTCGCATTTGTCTTCACAGTAAATCCTGTGAAGCGCTTTGGGATGTCCTTCCGGACGTGATAAGGTGCTATACCAATTGTCAGGATTATTATTTATAAAACTTAAGATCATTTATTTACCTCCAGCAGAGGGCGTCTGAGACAGTGCTTGATACGATTAAGCTTATTACCGTATAAAACCGTGAGTTTACTTACAGTATACACTATAATGTGGTCAAAGGTCAGTCTTTCCTCTCTCATCATACCTGGAATTTCTTGCATTTGATTTGAAATCCAATGTATTACAACAAAAATTGCAGTTTGCAACCAATTATAGTGAAACCCATTAATGCATTACTACTGCCTCAGGTAAACATTTCATTGCAGAAAATGTTATTCCTAATCTTTAGCAAAAGCTTATCATGCTTTTTTTTTTAATTGTTCGCTTTGTGCTAAAACTTACAAAAAAATTAAAGAGAGTAGCAAGAACCAGCTGGATAAGCCAAACAATAAATGTTTCAAACTTTTGGAAATCCTTTGCACCCTGTGCACATTTAAACTCTTTTTAATACACTGCACTGTTATAGTTTTGTATTAGTTTATGTCAGATGCTTATTAAATGGGTTTCAAGAAATGCTGCCTTGAGAAATCGATACAAGCAGCAGCAAAATTTGTTGTTTTGGGGAAATAAGGTCTTCAAAATGTAATATATTGCTTTTTAAACTTAAGAAACCATGGTATTCAAATGCTAAAGGTCAACATCAAAAACTTGCTGTCCCAACTGTTTCTGGGCAGATATTTGCTATGGAATCTAATTGGTTCTACAAGTTATGTAAAATACATTCTAAGCTTTGTTGCATCTTAATTTACTTTTAGCATGAATATTGAAATTTTCTGCCAGTTTCAAAATGCACAGCTTCTATTTGTATACATCTGTATAAATGATTTTTTTTGTACTTTTCTAATGCTCAGTTTTACAAAATATCAGTACTGTGGCCAGATTTATGGTTCACGATTTCATAATATTGTAATAGACGTAACAACTAGTATTTTATTGTGGGTTTAGTTTTCATGCAAAAATACCACTTTAATATTGAAAGAGCTAATTGACCTTTCTGAAGTAGAGATAAATAGTTAATGCAGTGATGTTTAATGACAGTATGGTCTGACTCTGAATGTGCTACACATTTTTTATTTCCCACTTTCCTATTCCTCTTTCAAGGATTATATTTCGGAATGAAGTCTCAAATACCTGCTTTTTTTTACAGATTGATTTCCAGTTCATTGTTCTTAGTTTCAAACCATTGTTGAATAGCTATGTATTCACTGCCATTCTCTGTGATTTTTTTATATTGTACAAATGTAAAAGAAATGAACCAACATTTATACTTGTTTGGCGTGTTCTATCCTGAAGTCAGTGGTTTAGGATCTGTCCCATTTTGCATAAAATGTAAATATTAAAAATGTGTGAAACTGTTACCCATCTCAAACATTTTCAATAACTCTTTTGTGTATGAGTTCATAACATTGTGTTCACTATTGCTGAATTTGAAAAAAAGCTTTATTGAAACAATATGAATATATGTATGTGTATGTATATATATATATATGTATGTGTATATGTATATATATGTATGTGTATATATGTATGTATACACAGTCCAATTTAAGTATAATAAGGATTGGGAGGATAAATTGTGTTATGTCTATTCTGGTATGACTGAAAATTATTCTCAGAAGATTTCTTCATTATATGCTGGAGCATCACCCTGCCACTGGATGGTGGTGTAACATTGCACATTTTTATCTTCTCAAGTGAAGCCAGTATTTCATGGTGGACTGTGGCACTTGATGGCAGCAGCAGGTCTCTTGCTACCTTGCCCACATGACCTCTTTAAATGTGTGCAACAGAGCAGTGAACTGGACAGACTGCTCTGTTTCTACTTAATAGAAAAAAGTTCAATGTCTGAGTTGCTGCAGAGATCTTATGTTTCTTTATTACACAAACAGTACAAGCAAAATTTTCTTCTTGCTGTCAAATTGTGGATTCATTTTTTTTGCACACCTTTCAACCTTCAGCAGCTGTTAATTTCTCATAATTCCCTTTATTTGATGTAGCACCTGTCAGGAGGATGTCTCATGGCACTTCACAGGATTCATTGTAAAGGCAGTGACTATATTATTGAAGGTGATTGCAGCAGCCAATTTGTGATTTGCACGTAGCAATGGCAACAAACAACTAAAAAAGGGAATGACCAATTTTATATTGGGAAGTGTTGTCCAGAAGATCAGGAGAAACTTCCTTTTTGAAAAACGCCAGGGTATCTTTAACATCCACCTGAACAGGAAGATGGGACCTATGATGAGATGTTAAATCACGAGATGGTTTAACATCTCATCCAAAGGAAAAGCAACTCTGATAATGTAGATTATCTGGCAGCATTGCAGTGGAGTTTCAGCCTAGACTGGGTTTAATTTAATAGATTGAAGCCTAAGCTTGTTTTAAAACAATTTTTCATCATTATCGCTGCTTGTTCATGCTAGCACATGAATTACATTTGCCGAGTGCCATGGAAGTTTACCACTATGTTCAGTGATTCCTCTTGTTGTTATTTAATGTGTTGATGCCTGTTAAAAGCTGAGCTCTGGGATTCACTAAGTTCTTAGAAATCACTGGAAGTGGAATCTTGGCTTCCAGAATATTTAAGCAGGCATTCCAGCACAGGTAATCAATTTGAATCCCTAGATCAGAGAAAGCAGAGTACAAACTTGATATGAGGAAAGCACAACGGCATAGGAGACTAATTCCATGTCTTTGAAGAGCACCCCTTTTCCCAATCGATTCAGTTCAAACTCTTTATGTGGGCTTGCATGTCTGAAGAGACAGCATTAGAGGGGACTTTAGATATTGCACCGCTTCCACAAGAAAGCAGCAGTGACCCATAATTCAGCTGCTGTAACATGCTGCCACCTTGTTGGTTCTGCTACCATCTACTGCACCATTGCACGTTAGCTATTTCCATTCAAGCTGTTACGTAAAAATTAAATTTATACTCTACATGCAGGTCTTACTGAAATTCCTGGCATTAGTGTACAATATTGCTACGGATTCCTCATTCCTTACCATCAGCTGAAACATCCTAGCTGCTCTTTCTTGGCTTCTCCCTACTCCACCCATCTGTCTTCAGATTAATCCAGCCCTCATTTTAACCTCTCTTTATCTTTCCTGCTGTTGATTTGTCTGTGCTACCCTCCATCCCAGTTTCACTTTAAAGAGATCTT